AAAAAGCATGCCTAAGTGTGCAAAGTTTTTGAAGGAGTTGTGCACTAATAAGAGGATTCAAACCATTGGCTACAGTTCAAATGAGTCCTAATATTAGTGCTATCTTTAAGCCACAACTTCCTCTAAAGTGTAGAGATCCAGGGGCTTGTACCATTCCTTGTCAAATAGGGAATGTGTTTGTTCAAGAAGCCTTGATTGACCTAGGGGCAGCCATCAATGTGATGCCCACTCACATTTATTCTTCCCTTAATCTTGGTAGTCTTCAAGATTGTAGTGTCATCTTGCACTACCGACCGGAGCACTAGGAAGCCTAAGGGATTCTTGGAGACATCTTAGTAAAAGTGAAAGACTTGGTTTTTCCAGCAGATTTCTATGGGTTGGATATGCAAGAAGGAGGCAAAGCCACTTATCCTTGGGAGACCTTTTATGTGACTTCAAGTACCATTTTGAATATGAAAGAAGGTAAACTCACCATGGAGTTCATAATAAGAAAATTGAATGAATTAACATTTTTGATAGCATGAAAAACTGTTTTGTGACTTATAGCCTTCATTTCATTGATATGATTGAGGATGTACTTGTTGATGAGTCTCCATGCTTCCTGTTTGTGAGATTAATGATTCCTTGCTTGATTCTACATGTTCTTGTACCCATGAGTTTACTGTGTGAATTGTAAAGATGTTGCTTCAATTCTATCTAATTTTAAGGATTTTGATGATTTGCATTCACATGAGTATGAGAATATGAGTGGCATGCATGATTCATCTCATATTGATCACATTAAAGCACATGACATTTCTACTTCCATTCATGATCATACTATTGCTTCTTTGTGTGATTTAATTGCTTTGGATGAATTGCATGATTTGGATGATAATTCTGGAGTTTCTTGTACACCATTGATTGAGTCAAGTGATGTTAGTGCTTTGGTACAGTATGATGGCTCTAGTTCATCTCTTTCATGTGACATGACACCACATTACTTGTCTTGCACTAACTTGATGAATTCTGAAATTTGTGATGATTATTACTTTTGTGCACCTAATCCTTCTCCAAGTGTGGGGAAAAGTTTTTCTTGTGCTATTTCAGGTGTTCAAGTGTCTAAGGATGAAGAAGAACAAGGTGTTATAGATCTTACACCCACCATTAGGCACCACTTTGATTGATGATTCCATAGACTTGTCTACTTTCACATTTTCATTAGATGAGTCTATATCTT